CATAAATAAACGCGTTAAAAAATGTGAACAGACATGACGCGCGCTCACTGGCAACATACAGTGTGTGAAATCTTTGGAAGCAAAATTAAATGTCGGTAAAATACTGCGATGAAAAGATTGAATTGACAGGTGCTCTCTCCTCTAAAGGGCGTATGCGACTGGAATGGTGTATGGACAGGTTTTGTGAAAGGAATTACAGCAGAGAGGTCTGAAATGGTCACATTTCTGGCAAACAACATGACCGGTGAGGAAAAACGCGATGCAGTCACAGCCTCATGTTCACTCAGCTTACCCATGGTGCCGCTGAGGGAAAACACTGTGTCTGTGCAGAAAGATCGCCGTGTTTAAGTCCTGATAAGGTGGTGACGACCGTCCGCAGCTCCTGCTCCTGAAAAGCGAAGAAAACTGCCGACCTTCAGCACCGCGGACAGCTCCAAGTCCAGACAACAGGCTGCCTGCCCTGCCGGACAGCGGCTGCTGAAAACACCGTGAAGGTTACACCAGGGACTCCACTGATCACATCGGATCCAATAAAACCAACGCAGTTTCCCCCTCTCCTCCTATCAACGAAGCAATTACAGCATCCAAAGACGCCGATTCATTTAAAAGAATAACGGATTCCAATCTTGAATCGTTACGCTGGATCCATCAAACCGTGCAAACAATCCCCCGGACTCAATGTCAGTGGGTCTACGGGGGGGAACAGAACATGTGAGCCAAGCAATAACGCGTCAAATCACGTTACGTTTCCCACCACCGCTGTATTAGTTCATCTGTGATAGAGAGTCAGAGCTCTGCCGGAGTTGATGAGAGCTCATTACATATGCGGCGCGTCCCAGCTCTGATCCCACAGTCCAATAGACACACGGAGAAACGCGGCTACGCAGGAACACCGACTGCCACTGCTTTTTCCTGTGTTGGTGTTAACAGGCACACTCTGTCATTTCCGACTCAGTCTGTGCTGTGAGCATTTCTTGGGCTTCAAGTAAACACACAACACAGCTGCTGCCATCGATGTCTCATTCATGTTGTCAGACAACTGCAGGACCATGAAGTCATCATTGGGACAGAGGTTACAAAATGTGTAAGGAAATATGCTGCGTTCACGTGCCGTGGGAATGACTGTCTTGTAGATGTGGGCTAACACGACTTGAAATACTTCGATGTCAGAAAATTCACGACGATATGACGATGATAATTATAGCTTTTAAATCCCTAACAAACGGGCACTCTGTTAGGATGTCACACAATAAGCATATCCATTTAGGAACCTATTAGAAATAGGGGTGGGGGTATTGTTTAACCAAATCAAACCCCCAACTTATCATCTGAAAACAGCATTTCCAAGTAATGCCCATCATCTTTCCCCTATGCAGCATTTAGTTTAGTATCAGGGAAAATACAGCTAACAATGTAGCAACAGCACCCTGTAAAAGTCTGTGTACAGCTAATTTGGAAATTGCAGAGACGTGCATCTTTCTGGAAACATAAAAATCTCAAATACAACTGAGGAAAATGTATACTTAGCTATATGTTTTCAAGCCCTGCAGCAAAGATGCAAATGGTGCGCGCCACAGCTTCCAGCAGCATTTTGTGGAGCTGAAAATTAACTTCTTCTGTGATTTTCCATCACTGCTCAACACATTATAACACATTTAATGATATTCTGCAGGTTTCTGACTGGCTGTTAACCCTCCATTGCTACAAAGATACCTTCACATCACATGCATGGGATACATTATCATTGCTAGTACAACAGTTAGTTAAAATTAAGACATGTTTAACACATTTGAATAATTACGAATTTCTATTCTCAAAAGGAATAATAATGTAAAATATTTGTCCAACAGGTTACAGCATATGGTATCTGATGATGATAATGCTTTCTGTAGTGCTGTTTAGAGACTCACAAATCTGTTTACCTCACTACAACATTCTATTTATTAAAATGCAGTTTACTGTACTGTAGTGCTTCCCCTTCAATTTTATAGCAGAAATGTTGAAGGGCCACGAAGCACATGTAACATCAAGAGTTGCTTTAATCACAAATGACTTCCTCCCCGGAGACTGTTGATTCCTCAGGCCCTTTTGAAGCCACATCAGAGGAAATGGAGGGGAGCTCCACCGCTACAAGCAGGGATTCTGAAGACTTTACAACACTGACACAAAATGTATCTATATCAAAGACATTTTATATTTTTAACCCCAAAACGTCACTCTGTACTTTGTTCTTTATGTATCTCCTGTAAAGGCTAAGCTACCTGGCACCATGAAGTAGCAGTGATTATTATCAACACAGGTATTTTACCTGTGTTGATTTTTTTAATATTTATTATTCAGCTTGTTGTGATAAGGCATAAAGATTCATTGTGGCTGCACATCAAATGAGTAGTAGACTCAGCTAAACATGGTTATTAAGCAGTACTGTTACATTCCTTTACCAGCTGTTTAACTCTCAGTCCCTCTATATCATATTCCAGTGTACCATAGCTCTGCTAGCTGCCCCAGACATAGAGACTTGTAAATATTCAATGGCGTTTCACAGAACAAGATCTCTCTCGCCACTGCTGTCACCATCTGTGAGAGAGGGAAAGAGTAGACGGATGGAAAAAGGGCAGATTTCACCACCACCACCTCTTTCACTGACACACAAGCTTTCAGACAAGCTGGTTGGGTATACCAAAATGTGGCCCCGTTGTTTGTGGCAGAGTAATCAAAGCTTCTTTCCATCTGTGACTACAAGTATGGACACAAAAAACAATCAGCAATCAATATCACAATAGTCCTAGTGGGCTACTGTGTATACTGTATCACTTCTGCAATTCTACCATCTACATACTGTATGTTGTACTCTTCATCAGAATGCCCAGACAAGCTTATTTAATTATGTGTTAATCTGAAATACCAATGGAAAGATAATGAATAGCAAAATAACTGATTGCAAGTAAATCCAACCAATCCAAGTCACCTGTGCTGACATCAGGTCGATTGTGAACTACTCGCAGATGTTCACTTGGTTAACTTGTACTTCAGCTCAATCACATCTCTTCCTTGCAGAACTGAAAAAGAATCTTTTCATCTGGTCTCAGCTAAAAGCCAGCCCCTGTCTTCTCTGGCCCCTGCTGACCCTGTTGGCTCCTAATAGCCCTGGTCAGCCTGGACACACTGGACTCTATTATCAGATAAACAAAAAACAGACTGTGTATATGACAGGATGACTAGTGAACTAACCTACCTCTTTTAACACCCTAATGCCCTCGCCACCTCTTTTGCACACTCTGTTTCTCTGACTGACACTTTCATCTGAACTTCTGTATCCTGCCATAAATGCCTGCTCTGCTCCCCTGGTGAAGACAAGACTACGTATAAGCTATTTGTTGGATTTTCAACTCATTCTGAATGGGACATCTGCAAAAATATTTGAAATATGGCAGTACTGTCAAGCACAGAGATAGTGGAGTGACAAAGTGCTGACAAATGAGCCACATACACTCCTCTGGACTGATATCAAATGTTTACTCCTGCATTTTCCTTTGCGGTTTGCAGGTGTATCTCAGTATGCCTTACATTACGAAGTGTTATTCAATTAAGTTTTGGGTAACACTATATTAACATCAGTGTCCACGGTCTATATGAAGAACTGACCTTGAGTGCTAGGAGGCCAGGGCACCACCAGGTAAATGGCGGGCATTGCCTCAGTGGCACATCCCTTTCTGCCAATGCTTCGACTGTCCATCGCCAGCCTGCTGCCACTGTTATTACTCAACGCCATCTGTACAACAAGGTAACCGATCTCCCAGCTATTATCTACCAGTGAACAATGGCAGCCTGTACAACTGGGGTCTTGGCAATGGAGGGAGCAGCAGGGCAGAGGTCTCTCCCAGTGGTTCTGCTGCTCCCTTGTTTGGTTAAGAAAAAGTACATACCAACATACAATTCCCTCCAGTGTGGCTTATAGACTGCTTGGTTACTATGTGGTAGTCAACAGCTAAACACAAGGAGGTTCTAGGTAAGACAACTATGGGAAATCTATGTTATACATGCACAAGGACAATGATATGACCCCTGTGATGTGTTCATCTGGCTGTCGTTGTGATGCTATATTTGTTTAGTTAGTTACACAGCTATAGATAATCCCCAAGGCTATTCAATACTGCAATCAGTCATTATAGCTTTCCCTTTCTGATCTATATTATTCTACATTATATTTATAGTAGAACTACGTGTTAGTATTGAATAGGGATAGTTTGGATCAGGTGTGAGATTTTATATTGATTAAAACCCTTTCTACTAATAATCTGGTTAGAAAAGCTACTTCCCTCAACTGCTTGTAGGACTAAGCATTATTACAAACTCACACTGAATTTACTCCAGTCAGTATTGCACCTACGTCAAAATCTGGTCTGGTCAAAATCTCTGCAGCAGAGAGCTGACTCCAAACATGCTGGATTCTACAATTTCCATAATGCAACACGATGATGTCTTTCATTATATCCTCACTACACTGTAAACACCCATGTAACTGAATCCATATAGATTCTCTATTGAAAACAAAACAAAAACAAAAACTGGAATAGTAAAACTTTGTCAAGCTCCCTCTAGAGCCACAGAGGAACAGTTTTCACAGTCTGCACATGATTGGTAAATTTAACTTCATGTTTAAAATCGGGGGAATGCTCCTTTAATCTGAAACTGTTTCATTCTTTCAGTCTTGTGTAAGCTTTATCCAAATTATTTTAATTCCAATCCTATCCATCTTCTGTCCTTCAACCCTCATCATGTCTCTGTTTGAGAAGCACTATATCAAAAAAGTATTTGTTTTACTTTATTCAGTGTTTATTTCAGTAAAACATGGTAGACTCACAGACAAGACATATGAGGACTTTTCGTGTTTGTTTACTGACATGGTTGGCTGCTGTATGTGCATATATACATATCACAGCATTTTATGAACAATTCTTGTGTTCAGACCAAGAAACTCAGAAAAAGGATTTGCTAACCACTTTGTCCTCCTGTTGCAATTCCATGAGAGCAGGAATGCAGCAGAAAGAAAGAAAGAAAGAGGGAGACAGAGGGGGGGAGGGGACAGGAAAGATAGGGAGAGAGAGATTGTGAGTGGCATTAGTAGGTCCTGGTAGTACTGTCACATACTCAGCAGCAACAGCAAAGGATTGGATGGCATCGCATAAAAACACTCAAGCTCATGATTCAAATTTAAGCAGTCTAATACTAAAAGCTTTGGCTTAGTCTGTGGGGAGGATTTTACAGAGGTTAGTTAGGCACTGGAGTGCCACATTATACAAAAGCAGCAATCAGTTTCCTTTATGGAAAAAGAAAAGGAGGAACAGTTCCCTCCAGTGGTGATATAGAACAACTGTAAATTACAGTAAACATGAATAGGAAATCTGCAGCTGTGAATCGGCAGATCAGAGTGAACAGAATTAGAATAAAGGCATGCAGACTGGAGTAGATGTTGATAATCTGAAAAACATTAGCTGCCATTAGAGACACTGTTGGCTCAATTCCCAGATTATAATTTCACTGCAATGTTTCATAACCTTGGATTTCAAATAGTAGCATAGGGAGAAATTTGCCTGAGGGTGGGACATCTGCATTTGTGTGTATGTATGTGTGTGTGTGTGTGTGTGTGTGTGTCTCTATAAATGTAGAGTACCTAGCATGCGAGTCAGTGTTACCTTATTTGACCGCAGAGACACTCGTCCTCCGCACCGAGCACAGAATTTCGTTTGGCAATATGAACAGAGGTGGCCACAGCCATCGGCAAACTTGGTTTTGTGGCATATCCCGCAGGTTGGGGCTTCACTCTTCTGGTCCTGAACCGGCTTAGTCTCCTCCCCCATCTTCTTAACCTGGTCCTTATAAGACTCAAACTGCTGGTGCAACTTCCTGTAAGAAAATGGGAAAGACAGATGTTAGGAAAAGAGACAGGATTGGTGACCTATAAAAAAGATGGTTTGTGTTTCATTTACTGATTTATTTAATATTTATTTGTATAGGGACAAGTACATAGCACAAACCACACATCACAGTATTTATAGCCTAAGCTAATTTGCAATGCCTGTACTTAGATGGCTTTAAAATACACATTTATCAGAATAACATTGGCCAAGGGACAGAGAACATAACCTTATTTCATTTAAAAAAAACTGCTGTTTTACTTTATCCAGTTAAACAACTACACACAAACTATTTACTGTAACATGTATGTTATTATTATGTGTTGGCATAAACAATAGATGTATATTTATTTTTAGTCTGGCAGACAAATTATGGCTAACCTGGATAACAATCTTTGTGCACCAGAATCCAGTCCTTATTATTGCCACCAGTCTGATACATGCTCAGTCCTGGCCTCAAAGTCACACCTTCCATAGTAAGCTCCTTCTATTGACTGACTAACTGATACAACCTCGGACGTGTGCAGTGTGAGAGGTTTTGAAAGGAAAAGCAGACACCATGACCTCAGAAGCTTCAAAGCTGAGCACATCCTTTGATACTGCACCTCTCCCAAAACAGGGGGTGTGGGTATCAAATTTGCTTTGCAAGTTTAAGAACATCACTTAATTCCACTTTCTCAGGTTCCCCTGCGTTTAATGAATCATTTGCACCTGTGTTTCTATATCAGGACAGTTGTAAGGTGAGCCACCCTAGGGCCACACAGTTATATAGCAATATTGCCAATACACACAATTATCATCTCTCTGTTGTATTACTTATAGGAAATCATTGGTGGTCAGACACAGTAGAGCCCACCATTCATTCAGCGTTTGTCAGCACAGTGTCTATTGTGTTACTGTTTGTGTCCTATAGATGGCACCTGATCTTATACAGTAGATCCTTAACTCCTAACAAGTCCTGAGAGGCCACTGAAAAAACCTGCATGGACTCTGCATGCATTTTGTATGACACATGTCAATTGAGCGTCTCCTTGGAAACTAAACACTGGGCTGACTTCATAATATGGCGATTAGAATTGGTTTCGCCCCACATATCCCCTGCAACATTCATTAGCACTTGTGAATTATTGAGCAGTGCTATCCTTTTACCACATACAGCTCTGAGTTTGAGATAAACGTGCTTCCTTTAGCCACAACCAGACATTTAGAGCCCAAATGTAATGGCCACGCACCACCTGAAGACTGTGTGTGAGTGTGGCTGTGTGAGCAAGTCTCTGTGCCATCTAAACATTAGATAGTGTGCCGTTGGCATGCCCCTCATTGTACCCACAGAGGGATTAAAGGGCTAATTGTGTCACAGCCTTTGTGTGTTTACCAAGCAGAGATTAGTATGTAGCCTTGTTTAACAGATCCCACCAAATCTCATTTACTGACAGAGGGCCTGATAACAGCGTGATGAAGACTGTGATACAAGTGGTAAAGCCACTGTCTCCGAGGATCAAGGAAATAAGACTACAAACAATCATGTTTTATTCTCACATAATCTCCCCTTACACTCAAACGTTTACAGAGACATGCGCTCGATCCCGGGCCACTACATGGACTGAGGGCCACTGCTCTATTGACAGGCAAGGTCACTGAGAAGAGCTGTTAAAGATAACCAATGATTACCTCTCCCTTCCTCTGTATGAGGTCACTTCTTTTAACACCCTATCGCCTCTCGGTGGCTAAATAGAGTTTATAAAAACATTTTAAAAATATTTCTCAGGTGAGAGTTCTACGAGTTTGACTGCATCAAATGTGTAGACTCTAAGCTGCACACTGCGACAGATACAGAAGAGCAAGAAAGAACTGTTTAAATAGAGAGTAGATAGACAGGTATGCAGAAGATTTAAATACTGTGAATGAGTGACCGAGTAAGGCATGAAGAGGAAAACTAAGAAAATGTGGAGTAAGAATAGTGGCAGCATGTACCCAGCACCCATTCAGAGGGGTATTCTTATTCGGTCAAACACGGTCAAATGTAGGTGACACTGCTGACGAGTAATCATACGCTGCTCATTGTCCCATCCCATGCTAGCGTATCGGAGCTCTCTTACCTCTGGGCCGCACCAGAGCAGCCACACACAGCCGGTAACCTGAGCCTCTGTCTTGGACATATGACAGAGCCAGCATATCAACAGCGAGGGTGAACTACAAGCTCTCTACAAGCTCCTGGATTCTACTTCTGCCACAAACTGAGCTCAGTTTGAACTCCTCTACCATCCTTAATGCATAATGTTTAGGTTATATGTAGCATCCATTAAAAGCAACATTACCTAGCACCTTCCTCCAATTCCTCTAATCTGAAACTATTTGAAATGATGAGATTCATGTTGTGTTTCTGTATTAAGTTGTGATATTTTTTAAAGCTAACTTTACCTTAATTGATTTATTGGCAACTTGGCAGAATAAAACCTCCGCAACAAGCTAACAAACACACAGCGAGTTGAAATGGCTGGCAAGTTAGCCAACAATTGTCTATTTACACATCCAACAGAAACAAAACAACATTACCATTCATTTGGAGTTGAGTTTCTGGCCAACTGACAGATTAGAAATCCAATATTTATCCTCCTCTGTGCTTTGGTTTAGAAAAATATCTGACTTTAGCTTGCTAGCTGCTCTGCTATTTACCTAAGCTAGCTAGTAACTAGCTTTGTCTAGCTGCTATTTGGTTCCTAGTACTTAGCATACAGTAACGTTAGGTTTATAATTTTCAGGTTTTAAATTTTCTTTTGCTAAAAACAGCATTCTTTCTCCAGCATTAACTCTGAACCATATAAAGTATCCTACGTTTGCAGGCTTTAAAACCAACAAAATTAAGCTAAAACACGCTAGCTAAATGCTCCATAGTGCTGCACAGTTGAATGATAATTTTCTGTTTGTAGATGGAGCAAACCTTTTTAGGTATAGTCATATAAAAATGTTTGATTAGGACACATTTGCTATGTATATTGGGTAAATTAAAACTTACATGAAGTTGCTAAATTCCATTCACTTCAACATGTGTCTCCTACGGGCCACTGTGGCCGATAACAGCCCTCTGCCTTCCTTTAACAACCTTTCATATAGCACACATTGTGACTTGTTAAAGCTAGAGAAGCACAGGTGCAGCTAATAACATTAACGATGGCTCCATTCCACTTAAGGACCATACCAGCTACCTACCATTAATAATACAAGGGCCCTGCAACTAGCTAAACTAAATGGGATGGAACCCTGAGGCCTTTTTCATGGCAGACATTTTGACATGGAAAAGCTCAGGTGTAATTAACAACATTAATGGTTAAATTCCACTCGCATGTTCCAAGGCCCTGGTGGTGGTCATGCTGACTCGTGTATGGCTTGCTGGGACACAGAGCCAATATCAGTATAATTAGTTACACCTGTACTATTCCTACTATGACAAGTCAAAACATCTTCCAATTAACCGACTGACTTATTCCCGCTTTAAACTTGCTTAAAACTACACAACATGACTGACAGCTACAGCTACTCACTGCCATTCACCCCAGCAGAAAAACTAATAAATGAAAGTGAAATAGAAAATAAATAAACATATTTTAAGGGATTAGAAGTTTCCAAACCAGGTTGTCCTCTTTTTATGTCAGTGGTCAGCAGCTACCACTGACTGCTTAAGTTTAAATACAGGTCTTAGGTCTGAGGTGGTCTGGGCTAAGGTTCTTCACTAGCTAGGCTTTAGCATCAGTCTTTATATTTCTCTTCTTCACTACATACATTATACTGGTTTAACTCTACAGACCAGTTAATCATACAGTATCTTTGTACAACCAGCACCGGGTAACTGAGGTCCCTTGAGTGCTTTTGATTCTCTGTTCTACCTGGTAGTTAACTGCATTCACCTGGTGTCCAAAGTGTAAAGGTCCCTGATTTGATTTGGATTGGCCACAAATGAAACTAAAATAACTATGTAGATAAATCTCATAGAACAGCCTGAACCAAAGTTCCCAGCTCTAACCATATTGCATTAGTTAGCTCTAGCTTAGTTGGTCACATGGTTAGTTTTGCAGCACTAATTTATGTAACGTAAGCCAGAAAGCTATACTTGTGGGTGTTTTAAGTAAAAATTAAAGAATTAAGAAGTATTATAGAATATAGCAACATGTAATGAACTTGATATAAATTTTTAAAGCATAAAATCAATAGCCCTGTGTTACAGATTTTAGTACAATGGTCCAGATGAAGGCTAAGGAATACATAAACATGTATGGCAACTTCTTTTGAGTTTAGTATATTGGTGCTGGTACCAGCTCACAAAGCCATTACCATTATGTCCTTTATAAAGGTAGAATCCATCGTGGCAAACCACTCCCACACCACCACTCTCTCCTCGTATGCTCCAACAATCACTGAGAGAGTCTAATATCCACTAGGGTCAAACATACTGTGCGTCCAGCTGCTGGGGTCACCACTGTATGTTTGTGCCTGCTGGGAGGAGATCAAAAGGGGTCTGTACTATTACTTACGCGTCTGGCTCTGGCTCCTTGTCATTTTGGGACTTTTGCTGGGGCTGAAGGACGTTATTTACCAGCTCAGTGATCCCACTAAACCACCTGTTCAAATAAGCAAAGTGTGACTGGAACATCGCAGTGAGTCATCATGGGAGAAAACAATCTGTCCTGAAAGCGTTTTTTTTTTTTTTTTTTTTTTTTAGGAGGCAGGTCAGATTCTAAGAAGTGAACAATAGCAGGGACATTCACTACAACCAGCGCAGAGAGAGGAGAAGGCCAGGACAACGGGCAGAGCGGCGATTAGTGGAACATTGACAACCAGACACAGTGTCAGAAATACAGAGAGAAAGATAGAAGAAGAAAGAAAGATGATACAGACAGACTTACAGTAGAGGGGAGGAGAGAAGAAGCAGGAAAGCTCTACAGCCAATGGAAATGAGAGCTGCATCAAACGCTGAGCTGAGGGTAACAGGAGTGTCATTTATTCCAGCCTGGTGGTGCAGTAGGGGTCAGGTTATTGGACTGGTTAGCCCTACAGGTGGATTTAGTCAAAATGCAGCTACAGTAGAGCAGGGCAGGTGCATCTAGTTCATATTTGTGATTGAATTACAAGGCTGCACAAGCCAATCAGAGTGCAGATGACACACTGGATGAGAATGGGCAGCCAGTTAGAGACCAGGGACAAGGGGAAAGGGTTCAGGGGCCCGGCTATAACAAAGCTGGTAGAAAGGAAAAGCCGCTGTCATTGATGTCATGGAAGTCGGCGGTTTAGTGTCCAGCACAGAATTCAACAATCTGGTCAATACTAATCATTAAAAGCTTATCAAAAATAAAATGCCACCGTGCATTCACAGCTTCTTTCCATGACATTAGTGACATTTCTTTCATTTTCCTCCCAGAAAAAGAGGAGAAAGCCACATAAAGCACACAGCACCGACTGACAGGAAGAAGTGTCAAAGCCTAGAGCACTCTGGGTAATGCAGTTTACTTACTGTGCCGGCTGAGGCTTTGGTTCTTCTTTGATCCTAAAACATAAAAAAAATAAAAAAAGGTGTGCACAGCTCAGTGCATACAGAACACAAAGAGATGAGGAAAACAATCTAAAAGACACAAAATACTGACACAACTGATGTCACCAAAGATGTGTATGACATAAATAATACTTCAACTATAATATGAATAATATTCAGGATATTATAGATGATGCTTTGATGAACATGACAATGGTAATGAGGTAAAGAATATGAAAAAAATGAACATTCAGAATGACTTTAAAGATGACATAAAGTTAGTGATTTGGACCAACTTAAACTTAAAAACAACTCCTTCATGTGAGTAACACTCTTATGTTGTAGGTACTAGCATGGCTTTCTACAACAAGAGGGTGGATCCAAAGTGCCAGTCCACATCCCTACTGCCAGTTTTTATTCAGCCCTAGAAGTTTTTCTAAGAGAAATGCATTATTAACAGGGGCCTCCATCACCACGCACAAGTTCAGAGTAACCAGCGTGCAGAGCAGTCCAGCTGAGCGACATTTGAGCCTTGACTTGCACACTGAGCTGCATCATAAGGTGAGGATGGGAAGCAGTAGCTCATTCTGTGTAAAGATCAACTAAGCCGAGCAACACATGCTTGACTAGATTTCATTATAACTGATAGCATGGCCATTAACGTATCAGCCAAATAGCTAGCTGCACTTAACTTTTAGTTTTAAACAAAGTCAGTTCACCTGAATTACAAAAAGACATTTTCTCACTTTTGTGAAACATTGAACATAAGATTTAAACAACGTAACATCAACAGGTCCTGTCCACAAACAAAGTCCTGGTTACTCTGGACAATCAGCAGATCTCAGTGTTGACCATTGTCAACTACTTTCTATAGAAGAAACTATTCCTAGAAAAACTTTTTTCTATTTGTGTTGGACATTGTAAATATGACTTTTTTAATCCTGTGGGCACCACACACAAAATTCAATTCCCCTTCATTGTATTGGTGCAGCAGCAGAAATAACAGAGGAAATCAAACCAAAACTATCCAGATGGCAAAATATCACTAGAGGAAGTGAGAACATGTCTTTTGTGATTAGGGTAAATGACGCATTTGATCATATCTTTTATCTACAAATTATACTGAATTCACCACTGTGTGTACATTAATACTGTCAGATAATATTGTAAAACGACTGGACTTATAACCTGTGTTGAAACCTACTAAATCAGAGCCAAAAAGCAAGAAAATAACAAACTACGACTGTTTCTTACAATAACATCTACTAAGTAGACTTCTCCTCTAATGACCACATTGGCTCAGAAATAAACAAAAGTAGGAGTCACCAAAGTGTTACATCCATCATAAACAGCAACGCTTAACATGCAGTCTTTACATTAAACATTGCATTAATGTGGAATTACATAAAGATACAGATAAAACAGGTGTACCCAGAATAACCGAGACAGCACAACCATCACTCAAACACACACCCAGACACACACCAGACAAACACCCAGACACACAGCAACCACCACATAAGTGTCTAGCGTCTGTATACCATCTAAAACTGAAGCTGCCAGTTCAGCTGCTCCCTCCTGGTTTAGGAGCAGATGTCACCTTAAGCAGAGCAGAGACCAGTTGCAGCTGAGAATCACACGTCATAATTTCACACACCTCATCACCACTTATATAAATTCCATATTCAGCTTTTTATAGCCCGTGTGAAATGAAATGTGTTAATTGGACTTTGTTTGTGACCGAGACACAGCAACATTTACTAATCTCATTCTGTAGGAGCGGTACTGAAACTTGATGGTTTTTACATTCTTCAAATAATACTGACACTAGTCTTCAGGTTGTAATAGTAGGGCTGCAACTAATGATTATCACCATTATTGGTTAATCTATTGATTTCTTTTAATTATTAACGGATTATCAAGAAAATGGTGAGAAATGCACATCGCAACTTCCCAGGGCCCAAGGTGACATCCTCATAGTCAGTTGCATCCAGGTAACAGTGCAAAACCAAACATATTCTAATTGCAATTGTATAAAAGCAATTTTTCACTTTTGAAAAGCTAAAAGCAGCAATTTTAAATAAAATGAACACATTTCTCTTCCAGAACCTTATTGTTGCTGGAACTGAAAAGCCTCTGAAACAGCTTCCAAACCATATGATACTAAACTGTCCGCTAAAAACTGTTCGCAAAGACTACAACTAATAGGCGCCTGATAAGGAAAATGAACAAAATGTCCACTGAAAATAATATTCCATCAAGTAAAAATCCAGTACTTTCAGATTAATCCCAGAGTGTGCACTAAGTGGATGCTATCAACTCCTAAACAAACACTGAGGCTGAAACAACTCTCATGCAGAGCCTCACAATACAGCACTAAAGCAGCCCAACAGTCTACTTTAGCTAAAGAGCACTCCAGAGTGAGAAATCTGTCTGTCTGATCTCTGTCAGATGGGTGAGAGAACACACGAGAGAAGATATAGTCCTGTGTACCCATCAGTCTCGCTGCTCTGTTTTCCGATGAGCCAGTCCATATTTATCCTCTCGCTGTGTTCTCCCGATGACCTGCAGCGCCGTTCTTTATTGATCCCATCAGCCCAGTCTCTGTGGTCGCATTACAAGCCTCATATTTATCTGATCGAGCCTGCTTGCCTGCCTGCCTGCCTGCCTGCCTGGACGGCTGCCGGACAGAGTGTGTGTGTGTGTGAGTATCCGTCTATGCGTACTGTACTCATACGTGTGCATATGTGAGTGTGTGAGTGTGAGCACACAGTGTATTATTTGACATGGGGCAGTAAAATGAGTGAGTGTAAAATGTCACAAGTGACGTATTAAGTATCCTGGCTGCTGAGGAGGCCTGCAGGGCAGATACAGTCTCTGTTTTCCATCTCTTTAAACTGCACTCTGCTTCCCATGAACACCCCAACAACACACACACAAAATAAGAAAGAAACACAGCCACACTGGTACAGAGATAGGAAAAGGTTTTTGTAGAGCATCCATGTCTTCCATGATATATGATTCTCTCCTATTTGTGTCAGAGTGGCAGCCTTAAGTCTTAATCAGCCACATGCTGCTGTTATTTTTAGTCCCTGTTGTTATTTTGTTCTGTATTTGGGTTTCAACCTTCTCTGCTTCACTGGCTTTGCATGGGGAAGCAGCCAGGCTTGACAATGACTGATGCTACACTGCTCTCTAGTGGACAGATGTGCTGCATAAACCTCTAAGATCTAGATTCCTGGAGCTCTATATGGGAATGTATAACAAAGCAATTTTGATGGAGTTTCTGTGCTGCGGTTTAATGTCTTTTGGAAAATGACGCAACAGAAAACAGCAACCGATAGATGAAGAGAGAGAGGGCAAATGAAATGAGTGAAACTGGACTATTATTACACTTGCAATTAACCAGCTGGCAGGATGCTCAGCAGTAATGTGGGTGCTAAAGGCCAGGACAGACAGGAGGTAGCATGTGGTTATGGCTATAAGCAAAAGCTTCAATGATTTGTCAGTGACTCGGTTAGTCAGCTGACAGCAAAAATACCAAACACTGCTGGAACCAGCTTTTTAAATGTGAATACTTCCTGCTGTTTTTCGGTTTGTTTACGAATTGAATATCTTTGGACTTTGGTCTGACAAAATAGGAAAATTGACACTCTGGGCTCCGGGAAACTGAGATTGTAATATTTCAAAACACTTCTAAAAAAGAAAAGACTCATCAAAAATCAGTAGTTGCTGACATGCATAAAAGCAGATGTAACAACATGAGTTGAATGGCTTAGTCTGAGGTTTTTCTTAGTCTTTATTACATTATTATAGATATTGTAAGACAAAAGCACTTGAAACAATAATGCTGTTTCATACCTGCCAGCCACAAGATAAGTCACTCATTTGTACAGGAGGTGATGCACTCACCAGTAACCCCACAAAAGCTGTGTAGTTAGCGTGAGCAGCAATAAGAGGAGAGGGACATCATTGCTGTCACTGCTTAGCATGTCGACAAATTCAAATCTACCTGAAGCTCATGCATTGGCCCTTTAAGATAAAGATAGCACTGATTCTGCCCCTTCGGGAAAGAAAGAGCAAAACGTACATGCTGTGATGCCAAAATACATGGTCTCCTTGTAAAAGCAAGCCAGTCAGCAGTTCTCTTGTTGAGGGTTTCTCTATACTCTGATGGGAGTGACATCCTTAGGAGAGCTGAATTGATGCAGCTCCTTCTGTACAGACAGCAGGACAATTACACAGTGGGCTGCCACGAGGACCTGAGCATTCCAAGAAGAGATTGAATTAATCTAAGCCCTCTGAAGATATCTCTGCTAATAAGCAGTGGGGAAGGGGAGGAGAGGATAGGAGAGCATATGAGAGGAGAGGATGCTTAAAACATACCTCCCTCTAAACTGTGCAATCGCTCTTTCACCCATAAACTGCTACTCCTTTGCCGCAGTTGTGTTCACACAAATACATTGATGTGACAGCTGTACAACGAGCCCTGAATCATCACATTCCCACACACCCAGAACAAGGTTGGCAACATGTCACATGCACCGCAGCAGGTCCAGCAATAGCTAGTGTGGATCTAACAGCTTCTGATGGGCAGCAGAAAGAGAGAGCCCGCCCACTTAGAGTCAGACAAGTCAGATGCCAAGTAAAGACCTGGCACAAAGGACACAGTCATTTACTGATATTGTAGTCAAAACATTTGTGCACTGATTGTCAAATCAGCTGACAAACGACAGACGCTTTGGTAAAAATGAATGTCACTGTGCATCTAAAGAAACATTCTATGAAAGAGAAACATTTTACCACCCGACCCTAGCTCTGCAGAGCGTTTGAGCATCTTTAAGTTCATTAGTTTTGCTTTTACAGTGGAAGTTAAGATATCATCTTCACTTTTCCAGCAACATCAGCAGCAAACAATGTGGCTTACACTTGCTAACTAACACACCTCTGCTAGTTAAAAAATGAAAAAATGTGTTTTATCTTTATCGTGATAGTTTATTTATATTATATTATAT